GAGGACAAAACAAATGGAAGAACATAGCATGCTCATGCATAGGAAGAATCAATATCATGAAAATGGCCATACTTCCCAAGGTCATTTATAGATTCAATGCCATCCCCATTAAGCTAACAATGAGTTTCTTCACAGAATTGGAAAAAACGGCTTTAAAGTTCATATGGAACCAAAAAAGAGCCCTCATTGCCAAGACAATCCTAAGGCAAAGGAGCAAAGCTGGAGGCATCACGCTACCTGACTTCAAACTATACTACAAGGCTACAGTAACCAAAACAGCATGGTACTGGTACCAAAACAGAGATATAGACCAATGGAACAGAACGGAGCCCTCAGAAATAATATCACACATCTACAGCCATCTGGTCTTTGACAAACCTGACAAAAACAAGAAATGGGGAAAGGATTCCCTATTTAATAAATGGTGCTGGGAAAATTGGCCAGCCATAAGTAGAGAGCTGAAACTGGATCCTTTCCTTACTCCTTATACAAAAATTAATTCAAGATGGATTAGAGACTTAAATGTTAGACCTAATATCACAAAAACCCTAGAATAAAACAAAGGTAATACCATTCAGGACATAGGCATGGGCAAGGACTTCATGTCTAAAACACCAAAAGCAATGGCAACAAAAGCCAAAATTGACAAATGGGATCTAATTAAACTAAAGAGCTTCTGCACAGCAAAAGAAACTACCATCAGAGTGAACAGGCAACCTACAGAATGGGAGAAAATTTTTCCAATCTACTCATCTGACAAAGGGCTAACATCCAGAACCTACAAAGAACTCAAACAAATTTACGAGAAAAAAACAAGCAACCCTATTCAAAAGTGTGCAAAGTATATGAATAGACACTTCTCAAAAGAGGACATTCATACAACCAACAGCCACATGAAAAAATGCTCATCATCACTGGCCATCAGAGAAATGCAAATCAAAACCACAATGAGATACCATCTCACACCAGTTAGAATAGCAACCATTAAAAAATCAGGAAACAACAGGTGCTGGAGAGGATGTGGAGAAATAGGAACACTTTTACACTGTTGGTGGGATTGTAAACTAGTTCAACCATTGTGGAATACAGTGTGGCGATTCCTCAAGGATCTAGAACTAGAAATACCATTTGACCCAGTCATCCCATTACTGGGGATATACCAAAAGGATTATAAATCATGATGCTATAAAGACACATGCACATGTATGTTTATTGTGGCACTATTCATAATAGCAAAGACTTGGAATCAACCCAAATGTGCATCAAGGACAGACTGGATTAAGAAAATGTGGCACATATACACCATGGAATACTATGCAGCCATAAAAAAGGATGAGTTCGTGTCCTTTGTTGGGACATGGATGCAGCTGGAAATCATCGTCAGCAAACTATCACAAGAACAGAAAACCAAATACTGCATATTCTCACTCCTAGGTGGGAATTGAACAATGAGATCACTTGGACACAGGAAGGGGAGCATCACACACTGGGTCCTGTTGTGGGAAGGGGGTAGGGGGAGGAATAGCATTAGGAAATATACCTAATGTAAATGATGAGTTAATGGGTGCAGCACACCAACATGACCCATGTATATATACGTAACAAACCTGCATGTTGTGTACATGTACCCTAGAACTTAAAGTATAATAATAAAAAAAAAAGAAAATGAGTGAAAAAGAGAGATAAGGGTCCACTATGTGTGAAAAGCAAACAGATCTAAAGAAAATTAAAATTTTTATCACGATAAGCATATAATAAAAAGAAAGAGAAGAAGGAATGAGACAGGCATGGGTGCTGAATAAATGTCCTGGGGAGGCCTTTTCATTATCTACAGTCATCAGTTTATTCTGAAGGTCTCAGGTCAGCTTCCTGCTTCAAAATGTCACTGGTCCTTATTGGGTATATAAAAATCCTTCTAGGATATCCACAGTTTGTCATACTTTACTAAAGTAGTCTAATAATTAGATGAAGTTCTGAATTTAATCTTCAGTTGTGTTAAATATTTAAAAATACCACCATCTACAGATTAGGAAACTGAGACTATATTTTTATCAAGGGTTACAGCCATCCCACAGGCTGGAAAGCATAGTTTGGGTAAAGATGAGAGACTGACACTCCCAAGAAGGGGTGGGCAGAAGCTTTATGCTGAACGTGTTGGCTAAACAGACATAATCAACAGGTTACAGGAGGGGCTATGGATGTTCACGGAGGTGGTGCTGACACATGCATACTGAACAAACACACGTGCAGCATATGAGCCCTGTTCACTTACCAGTGGTGACTGAGCATTTAAATTCATTACAGACAGGCCCTATGTGCAAACAGCAGAAGCAGAGACACAAAGGCGCTCAGTGTGCAGCCTCTGTAAACGGCCAGAGCCAGGCCATGGTGAGTGGTCTCTCACGAGGAGAAAGTTCCTCATATCAAATGTTCAATCAAAGCTGGGATTACAGCTTGTGGAACAGGGGTCAGTTCATCAGGGGATGGGCTGCAATTGTCTTCACAGTGCTTGTCTCAGTGCCAGTGTGTACTGAGCCACTAGAGAAAAAGGTTTAATTGAGCTTCTTTAAAATCAACATTTTGAATTATTTATCAGACATTTCTAATATGTCATGTTGTTTAGATTCTATTGCTGGAGAGTTAATGTAACATTTGGGGGTTTGTAACTCTGTTTTTTCATACTTCCAGAATTGCTTCTCTGTTTCCTTTTCTTTAGCTAACCTGTCTCTTCTTATTATTTTTCAATTCATTCTGATTTTGATGAATATTTCATTCCCTTTAGAATGTGAATATAATGTACATTGTGTGGGTCTTTGGATTTTGGTTCTTGTTCACTCAGTGGCAATGACTCTGTAAGAGTTCGTTGTCTATATATAGCCATTATTTAGTGGCTTTCTGAAATGGTGGTTTTAGTACCAATGTACTGAGCCTGTGAGTAGACTCACTGCCTCCTGCAGGTCCTAGATAGTGGAGGCCTCAGGAACTGTTTCTGATTTGGAATGCATTTGTTTCTGAGAGTTGTGTTGGGTTGTTAAGTTCACCTTTCATGTTAGTAGGTGGCCTTACAGGTTTGAGCCGACTGCGGGAGAAGCAGATGAGTACTTGCTTGATATCTGTGCACAGGGAGAAGCTCTCTGTTGCCTCAGGCTATGGGTTGGTCTATGAAGTGCACAGTGACCTGAGTTCCCTGCTCAGCCCCTGAGAAGGGCACCAAGCTGGACACACTTGAGCCACCGAGCCTGGCAAGGAAAAGCACTAGCCTTGATAGAAATGGCCAGGTGAGGGGCATCTACTCAGTGCGATTTACTTTGTTATTAAGAGCTTTAGTGTGGTGCCTTTTCCAAATTCCAGCTTTAGTAGTAACATACTGAGCATGTGAGCAGACCCGTGGTCTTTTGCGGAGCTGGAATCACAGAAGTATTGAGAAGCTAATCTCATTTTCACCTGCTGTACACTGGTGGTAGCGGCTTTGTATTAGGTCATGCAGTTTGAACACCAGGCCAGTAGGTGGCGCGTGCAGGTAAGAGCCGGCTATGGGGGCAGCAGAAGGATTTATGCTTTACCAGTGGTTAAAGTGGGAAATTTGTCACGTTCCAGATCTTAGAGAAAAGACTTTTAGTTATTTCTCATTCATTATAATACTACCTGAAAGTCTCTGGAACACAACTTTTTATTATGTCGAGATGTATTCTTTCTATACCCATTTTTTATGTTTTTTTTTCATGAAAGGATGTTGAGTTTCATCAAATGCGTTTTCAGCATCAATTGAAAAAATATTATAAGTGGATTAAAGATCTAAACGTAAAACCTAAAACTATAAAAACTCTGGATAATAACATAGGAAATACAATTTAGGACATAAGAGCTGACAAATGCTTTAAATGAAAATGCTAGAAGCAGTTGCAACAAAATCGAAAATTGACAAATGGGACCTAAGTGAATTAAAGAGCTTCTGTATAGCAAAAATCCCATCAACAGAGTAAACAGGCAACCTATAGAATGGGAAATAAAATATCTACAACCTATACGTCTGACAAAGGTCCAATATCAATATATACATGGAACTTTAACAAATATTCAAGAAATAAAAAGTGATCAAGGGACATGAAAAGACACTTCAAAAAAGACCTACATGTGGCCAACAAGCATAGGAAAAAATGCTGAATATCACTATTATTAGAGAAATACATATCAAAACCACAATGAGGTACCATCTCACATCAGTTAGAATGGTTAATCTTTAAAAAAAACCAGACTTTTAAGACTGTAGAAAAAAGGGGAAATGTATACACTTCTGGTGGGAATATACATTAGTTCAACCATTGTGGAAAGCAGTGTGGTGATGCCTCAAATAATCTAAAACAGGAGTTTCATTTAACCCAACAATCCTACAAGTGGACAGATACCTAAAGGAATATAAACAAGTAGGTTCATTGCAGCGCTATTCACAATAGCATAGACATGGAATTACCTAAATCCCCATCACTGGCAGAATGGATAGAGAAAAGTGTGCTACATACAACCATGGAATACTATGCAGCTAAGAAAAGAATGAAATTATGTCCTTTGTAGGAATATGATGGAACTGGCAGTCATTACTCTTAGCAAACTAATTCAGGAATGGAAAACCAGATATTATATGTTCTCACTTATTTGTTGGAGATAAATAAAAGGAAATATTCTTCCCGGGCTTGAGTCTTCCTTATTCAACAAGTCATTCTAAATTAAGTGTTCAACGAGTTGCTGATAATCGTTTAAATATTCTATTTCATATAGACCACTTATATCACTCAAAAATCAATGAGAACAATATTTATCAGTGGGATTATAGGATAATCAATATCTGAATAGTGAGAATATGAAGGATATGGACGGTTTTTTAATTCAATGGGCACATAACTAGGGGAGACACTATATCCCTATGGAAAAGTTATTCAGACTTCAGAGATAAGTAATATTTCCTACGTTGTGTTTGTAGGAAAGACTGGGGCCTGCCTCATCCCTTTTCACCTCTCCATACAAAGGCACCACCCACATGCAAATCTTCACTTAGGCACCCACAGGAAACCACCACACATTTCCTTAAATTCAGGGTCCAGCTCACATGGGAAATGTTCTCTGAGAGTCACGGACATCCTGTGCAAGAACATGAAGCACCTGTGGTTCTTCCTCCTCCTGGTGGCAGCTCCCAGATGTGAGTGTCTCGGGGATGCAGATATGACGATATGGGAGGCTGTCTCTGATCCCAGGGCTCACTGTGGGTCTCTCTGTTCACAGGGGTCCTGTCCCAGCTGCAGCTGCAGGAGTCGGGCCCAGGACTGGTGAAGCCTTCGGAGACCCTGTCCCTCACCTGCGCTGTCTCTGGTGGCTCCATCAGCAGTAACTACTGGAGCTGGATCCGCCAGCCCCCAGGGAAGGGACTGGAGTGGATTGGACGTATCTCTGGTAGTGGTGGGAGCACCGACTACAACCCCTCCCTCAAGAGTCGAGTCACCATTTCAACAGACACGTCCAAGAACCAGTTCTCCCTGAAGCTGAGCTCTGTGACCGCCGCGGACACGGCCGTGTATTACTGTGCGAGAGACACAGTGAGAGGAGGTGAGTGTGAGCCCAGACACAAACCTCCCTGCAGGGAGGCGGAGGGGGCGGGCGCAGGTGCCGCTCAGGACCAGCAGGGGGCGCGCGGGGCCCACAGAGCAGGAGGCCGGGTCAGGAGCAGGTGCAGGGAGGGCGGGGCTTCCTCATCTGCTCAGTGCTCTCCCTCCTCACCAGCACCTCAGCTGTCCCCAGGGCTCCTCTTTCTTTGATATCTGTGGTTCTGCTTCCTCACATTCTTCTGCCAGAAAAGAAAGGAGGAAGGCACATTTTCCTCTTACAATTGAGATTTCACCGATTACTAGGAACTTTCCTACAAGTTCCTGCATGGCCCATTATTGCTTAGTGATTAATAATATATATATTCTAATGCTTCTCACCATCTCTTGGTTTATGTCATCAATCGAATTGTGCCCTCTTTGAAATTCATATGCTGAAACCTTAAAATCAATGGATCTATATTGGAATTTTAATGATACATTTAAGGTTAAATGTGGTCAGAAGTGTGAGAACCTAATGCAATAGACGTGCTGTCTTTATAAGAAGAGGAAGAGACACCAGAGACCTCTCACTTTTCACGTGCACGCAGAGAAGAGGCCATGTGGAGACGCAGTGTATTAGAAGGTGCCCCAGTGCATGCCAGGAAGAAGCCGCACCAAGAACCAACCCTGCCAGCACCTTGATCTTCAACATTCAGACTTTAGATTTGTAAAAAAATCAATATTTGTTGTTTAAGCCACCCACTCAGTGTTGTCTTCTTATGAAGACCCAGACAGACTAATACCACGTAACTCATAACTCTGTTAGTGCTGTGCCCTGGATGGAGAATCAGCCCCCTGAGGCTGGTTACATCTCTCAGATTTCTACATAAAGTAGGCAAAAAATAGTAGCTGTGATATAAAAACTTGTCATGTCCCTGTTGACCAATTTCTGGGCAAAGTGTTTTAATGAAGCCCTTGGGGCTTTGTCACAAAAGTTGTCTTTTATCTTTTCTGAAGACCTAACTAATGGACAATAGGTACCAGCTGGATGGAGACTGACCACTGACCATCTTCTGCTGTCTCCTTAGCATGCCACAGAAAACCACACCAACATTACTCAATGTCTTCAACTTTCTAAATTTGCACTGAATCTATTGCTAAATGAGGAGTTACATGAGGTCTGAGTTTTGTTCCCTTCTTCCCAGTCTTCCTCTATTACCAAGGGCAGAAGAGACATTCAATGAAATTAGGCTGTCAATGCCCCCAACACCACATCACTTTTTAAGGTCCAGGAACTTTATTTGGGAGATAGTGAAACACACTTTTAAATGAAAAGCCCTAAAGCACATACAACGGCTGAAGGAATGGCCACTGTGCACCTGAAGGCTGATGAGGCAGATGGTAGGGTCCCTTCCTCCAAAATGTTCCTGGGTGTGTGATGGTTGGATGCCTCATGCATATGGAAATATGGAGTGGACTGAAGTAGAAACAAGGGCCACATACCATAGGAAAACAAGAAAAGAACAGATGGGCATTCGTGAAGACAGGTAATTAAATTTATTGAGTTTAAGATGGAATTTTTTTCCAAAGTTTTTAGTGTTCTTAGTTAAATATGAATCATTTCAACAAACTGAGAATTAAAAGGAGAATGGAGTTAGAAGTTGAGAGAGAAAAAAAGTCCTGAGAGAGCAGAAAGAAAATTCACACAAAACTGTCACATGGCAGAGACCAGAATGGAGCTGATGCAGCGATGTCATTTTTCTGCAGACCTAATTGAGACCCTTTGGTGTTTAAGGCAGGCCCAGAGTTGAAGAACTCCTTTAGTTTTTGCTTCTCTGGGAAAGGTCTTACCGATCCTTTCTTTTACAAAAAGATTTATACGGTAAAGTTTCTTGGTTGGCAGAGCTTTCTTTGTTTTTCAGCAATTGGAATACAGTCATGGGCCACCTAACAATGTTTCAGTCAACAATAGACCGCATATATGTTTGTGGCCACATAACATTGTAATACCATATTTTCACTAAGGATGTTCCATATTTAGATGTGTTAGATAGAGAGATACTTACCATGGCTTTCAGTTCCCTGCAGTGTTCAGTGCAGTAACATGCTGTACAGGTTAGTTGTCTGGAAACATTGTGCTATTCCACATAGTCTATGTGTAGTAGGATATTCCTTGTAGGTTTGTGTAAGTTCTCCCTATGATGCCTGCACAATGATGACACTGAGTAGAAATACATTTCTCAGAAATGATCTCAATCAATAAACCATACATTATCGAGTATAATTCCTCTCCATTCTGAACTGAAAAATTCTGCTAAATCTGCACTTTTTCTTTCCGTTTTCAAAAACCTTTCCTTTAGCAATGTGGTTTCAAACTATCTCTGATTTTTCTCATTTGGTTTACCTTATGTAAAATGTATAGAGCTTCATGGATGTGGACAAATATTTGCTTCTCCAGATTTAGAAAGTTTCTATGCTATTCCTTCTTTAAAAACCTTTCCGCCTCTCTTGCTCTGTCTCTCTCTGTCTCTCTCTCACCCTCTTCCTTCACTACCGCTTTTGTCTTATCTTTGCGTAACTCCTCAATGCATAATTTCATTTTCACTGTGCTTCCTGACTCATAAGTCTTTAACTCTTTTTTATTTCTTTCATTTAAATTTTTCTTCTCTGTCTCTACTATTTCAAATGATCTTTCTTTGAGTTTACTGTTTCTTCTATTACTTAATCTAGTCTGGTCTAAAATCCTCTAAAAAATTTTGGTCTGACTTATTGTATTCTTCAGTATCAATATTTTTGCCTAGTCATCTTTTAAATGTTTTATCTGTATTAAAATTCTCACATTGTTCTTGCATGATGCCACTAGCTCATTGAACATGTTTCTAATATTTACTTAATTTTCTTCCAGGTAATCTATATGCTTCCTTTTCACTGATGTCAGTTGCTGGATCTTTATGCTGTTCTTCTGTTTAGACCATGTTCCCCTCCTCCTTCATTTTCCTTGACTGTCTTTGTTGCTACCTGTTCATTATAACAAAACCACCATACACTCTTCAAAGACGAGGCTTATAGAGATCATCCTCACCAATCAGTCCAGGCAGCAATTTGGGTGTCTCAAAACTTCATAGTATTCAAGCCTCTGTCTCTGTTCTTAATGGTCCCTGGGTTTTAGAGGATGATAGATTCTGCCAGAAATCACAGGTAGGGGAGGTAGAAACTACTTACAAGAAAAAAACAAACAACCTCATCAAAAAGTGGGCAAAGGACATGAACAGACACTTCTCAAAAGAAGACATTCATACAGCCAACAGACACATGAAAAAATGCTCATCATCACTGGCCTTCAGAGAAATGCAAATCAAAACCACAATGAGATACCATCTCACACCAGTTAGAATGGCGATCATTAAAAAGTCAGGAAACAACAGGTGCTGGAGAGGATGTGGAGCAATAGGAACACTTTTACACTGTTGGTGGGATTGTAAACTAGTTCAACCATTATGGAAAACAGTATGGCGATTCCTCAAGGATCTAGAACTAGATGTACCATATGACCCAGCCATCCCATTACTGGGTATATACCCAAAGGATTATAAATCATGCTGCTATAAAGACACATGCACACGTATATTTATTGCGGCACGATTCACAATAGCAAAGACTTGGAATCAACCCAAATGTCCATCAGTGACAGACTGGATTAAGAAAATGTGGCACATATACACCATGGAATACTATGTAGCCATAAAAAAGGATGAGTTCGTGTCCTTTGTAGGACATGGATGCAGCTGGAAACCATCATTCTTAGCAAACTATCACAAGAACAGAAAACCAAACACCGCATGTTCTCACTCATAGGTGGGAACTGAACAATGAGATCACTTGGACTCGGGAAGGGGAACATCACACACCAGGGCCTATCATGGGAGGGGGGAGGGGGAGGGATTGCACTGGGAGTTATACCTGATGTAAATGACGAGTTGATGGGTGCAGCACACCAACATGGCACAAGTATACATATGTAACAAACCTGCACGTTATGCACATGTACCCTAGAACTTAAAGTATAATAATAATAATAAATAAATAAATAAAATGGAAAAAGAAAAGAAACTATTTACTCAAGCAACCCCTTGAAAATTTGGACCACTGGATAAAGTTTTATTATTGATGTATGATTCATCAAAATATTGTTAGTTCAAGCTTCTCTCAACCAGTCATTAATCATTGAAATTTTATCATTTCTTATTTGAATCTGGGGTTTATTCTTTGAATATCTAGGTAAAATTACAAACTAGTTTAAATCTACCTTTTGGCAAAATGATCTGCTGCCAAATTTCCATTTTCTGTGTTATCTCTTTTTGCATTTAAATCTAAGTCTGTATTAGACATGCATCCAAAATGCAGAAAAATGTCTTAATGTTCGTTAATTTATTTAATTTAATGGGGTTTACAGAAGATGTGAAAACCTCCTTTGTTTATCAAACACCTGACTATTGGTCAATAGCTTCCTCTTTAATTTTTCTCTCTCCTCTCACATTATCTATAATAAGCAGGGAGAAATGAAGACACACCATAGACAGTTTGCTTAGACATCCCATCAGCCAAATTTCTAACTCTCACTGATTCTAACTTCATCCAGTGTAACATAACTAAGATAGAAATTCTATAACAAGGTACACATGCTTTCCAGTTCTAATACCATGTTTGTGACAGAAACAAAGCAGGTGTGCTCTCTGCGAGGTGGTCATCTGAGGTCTGAGACGAGGGGTCACACAGGTATTTTTATATTTGAGGGTTTGGGCAACAACAGTGATAACAATTCTGATCATCACTGGCTCTTACCGGAAAGTTTACAAGTAAAGTTACTGCTGTTATTTGATTTTAACACCTAGTTTGAATGAAGCTCAGAGGAAGAGGTCACATCCTAGGTCACACAGTGAGGTGGAATGGAGCTGTGCTCTGCTCTCCACACTACCTGCAAATCCCAGGCACGGGCCCAGGTTCCACTGACACGTGGCATCTGGAGGGCAGTTCTCAGGGGATGGTCTTAGCGCACCTGCTTCCTGGGGCAGGGCGCTTCCTTCTCTCAGTTGTGTACTTGCTCCTTCTGCCAGCTCTGAAGTGACCACTTGCATTGCCATGAATTATTCATATTCTCTCCCTTACTATGGCAAAAAGCATGTTTATTAAATTTTCAATTCATTTTCTCTGAAGCACACTGCGTTAGCAGAAAGGAATAAATCACATTCCTTCACCTCCCCCACAGCCCAAGATTCCTGAAGACAGAGCCGATGTGATGTACTCATAGGTGGATCTCTGCTCCAGCTATGAGGAGGTGGCCTTGGTCTTCAAGTTTCAGCAATTCTGGGAAGCCAAGGACACCTCCATGTCCTCCTCCCTGCTCTGCAGCTTACCTGAGAATAGCTTTCTCTTTGGAATATCATCTGTTTAAGGAATACAAGTCCCTGCTTTAGGATTTGGGGCCTGAGTGCACCTACTAGATCCAGCCTAGGACTGGAGATACTTTCCAGAACACGACATCACCTGAGACATGACCAGTCACACTGTTTTACTTTCACAATTTCAGCTTCCTCAGAAGAAAATTAAAATTGCTGAGACTTTTTCATAAACGTTGTGCCATGTCCTTTTTCTGTTTCCTTGCCTGTTCATTTATGTCCAACCAGGTGCCACATCTATGTAATCAGGTTAGAATCCTGCCTCCAATAACACATGAAGAGGACCTTTGGTTGTACTTTTGGTCTTTGCTCCAAAATGTAAAGATTACAAAAGTCATCACCTCATTCCTATGTCAAGAGGCGTCTGCACAATCTGATCTTCAGTGCCTTCGGGAATTCATCAAAGGAATGAAATTCCAATCAAAAATTGCCCACTCGCAAAACTGGAGAGACAAGTGTGTCCAGAATGGCAGTTGACACTTGCTTTGCTGGAACAAAAGCCGCACTTCTGTGTGTATATATACACACACACATATATGTACATAAAGGGCACTTACATGGTAAGCACTATAGACGTCTGCAAGACAGATGTGGACTATGGTGAAGTGACAGTTCCAGAGGGCCGTACACTCCTCGGTCTTCTGGACTTTCCCTCCAGAAACCTCCAGTTTCGAAAAAATACAATCCAAATATGTTTCATATGGGTCAGAAGTGGGGGAGTTATAATTCCTGAAAAATATGCCAAGAGCCTTCTCCAAAAGATCCTACAGGGAAGAACTTTTCCAGCACCTTGTCCTATGTGAAGAAAGACAAATCTGCCATTCCAGATCCCTCCCCCATTCTTCCATGATTGTATGAAGATGTAAGCAAATAGTCCATAGACAGGTAAGATGTAAGCAAATAGTCCAAGTAAGATGTAAGCAAATAGTCCAGGTAAGATGTAAGCAAATAATCCAGGTAAAATGTAAGTCAGTAGCCTAGGTAAGAGGTAAACAAATAGTTAATCCAGGTAAGATGTAAGCAAATCCAGGTAAATAGTCCAGGTAAGATGTAAGATAATCCAGGTAAGATGTAAGAAAATAGTCCAGGGGCACTGAAACCACAAAAGGC